CAACAGAAAAGAGTGTGAACTCCAGAGCCAGACTGCCTCCCTGCTCCATAACTCAGTGCTGCGGGATGCAGAGTAAGTTACTTAGCCTCTCTATTCCTCAGCTTCCACGTGAGTGAACGGAGGCTCATGTCAGTACTGGTCTTGCAGGTTGTTGTGAAGACCACGTGGATGAAGCAACTATAAGGTGCTTCTGGCCATCCTGGAACAACTGCTACAAGTCATCATCACCTCAGGTAAGAGCTGCTAACAGGGGGGCACAGGAGGCAAACAGGAAAGGTAAATTCTACTGAGAAGACACTGTCCTGTTTTAAATGACACCAGCTCCGGCACCCAGGGCTGGTCAAGGAGGAAGTGTAGCCAGTAAGTTTCCTGTCCTCAGCAAGGGAGAGGGAACTAACGATTTGGAGCATCTGCCATGTGTCAGAGCCTGCTGGAGGCAATCATTACATCTGCTTCTCTCATCAGCCCCACCAGGTGGGGGTACCTGTCACACGGGGCCAGGAGAGATGGCAAGCCCAGCAGAGTCAGGAGGGCCTCTGCTCGCTCGCTGTGACCTGTCATCTCCGGGGACACAGGCAATGAGACCCATCTCCAGATGGGCACGGGCAGGCCCAGCAAGGGGCTAATGCAAGAGCTGTGGGCTCCTGGTCCAGAGCTTGTCCTAGACCAGTGATGGCGAACCTATAACTCATTTTTTTGGTTGATTTTTCTTTGTTAAATGGCATTTAAATATATAAAATAAATATCAAAATATAAATCTTTTTTATACTATGGTTGCAAATATCAAAAAATTTCTATATGTGACAAGGCACCAGAGTTAAGTTAGGGTTTTTCAAAATGCTGACACACCGAGCTCAAAAGGTTCGCCATCACTGTCCTAGACTGGCCCTTCGGGATAAACCCCCAAAACCTGAGCACAGCTTCCTGGGAGGTGACCCCCTCACTCAGGAGCGACCCCAACTACCTAACCACCTAGCTTCTGGGCTCACCAGCTTACACAATCATCGGGTTTTTGATCAACTGTGGAATTTAACTCAGAGCAGGAAGGAACCTTGGAAAACCGGTCTCTATCTGTGCTTACAAACTACCACGTGCAAGTCCTACTCTCCCGGTCGCCACGTTAACTGTGAAGGAGGGAACCCTTTAAAATCTGATGGCATATCTAGTTGAGCTAACATGCGCGCCAGGTAGGAGCTCCCCACAGGCCGTGTGGTCTGCTATGGTGACAAACGAAAAATAAGACAGAGCAGGGTCGGGGGTGGACACGGGCACAAGCCTTCCGCGAGAGGTCTCCACCGGTGGCCGCCCCCGGAGGGGCGGGGTCTCCAGCCGCGGGGACCGACTTCTCACCTCAAATATGCGAGTGAAGCCAGGGGTCCAAATGCCCCCCGGCCGGCGAGCCCACCGTATGGATGACCCCGACAGCGACAGAGGCCGGCAGGCGCCCCGGCCTCCGAGTTCACCCCGAACCCGACTTCCGGCTGCGGCGGCAGGTCTGGCTGGGGCCACAGCTGCCT